AATATTTTAGGTTATATAGTAGTTCATAAGATTAATTGAATGAATTAAATAATAAAAGAATCTCCTTTTATAACTTAAATACTCCTAAGTTTCGATAGTGTATAAGTACCGTGAGGGAATAATGAAAAGAACCCCGGGAGGGAAGTGAAAAGAATTTGAAATTTTAATATCTAATAATCAAATGAGTTTATTGTAGAACTTTATTGATTACTTGTTGAAGAATGGACTTACGAGTTATATAAATAGGCGAATATAGATTAAAAAAAATAAATTTTGAAGTCAAAGTTAACGCAAGCTTTATTAAATGCACACATATTAATTAAGTCTATTTATATATACCCGATACCGGAATGATATAACTATGTTTAAGATACTATAATTTATTTATATTTTATAGTAGTCTGTATTGGTTAATTTTGCAAAATTATCAAATGAAATGTAGTTAGAGGTGAAATGCCTATCGAATTCGGAGCTAGCTGGTTCTCTTTGAAATGTATTTAGGTACAGCTATTTAAATTATTATATTGGAGGTAAAGTTCATAAATTTTAATTTAGTTTTTAAATACCATTATAAATTTAGTACTAAATAAGTGAGACTTTAAGGGATAAGCTTTAAAGTCGAGAGGGAAACAACCCAGACCATTAAATAAGGTTCTTAAATATTTATTTAGTTGAAAGGAAGTTTTTATACATAGACAAATAAAAAGTAAGCTTAGAGGCAGCTATCTTTTAAAGAGTGCGTAATAGCTCATTATTTAAGTATATTAGCGCCGATAATTATTAGGAGATAAATAAATTGCCGAAGTTGTGGAACTATCTTTAAATATAGTTAGTAAAAGAGCGTTTTGTATTAGAATAAAATTATTTTGTAAAAAATAATCAACTACACAAAAGTGATAATGTAAGTTTAAGTAATTTAATATATTAATAACAAATTAATACCTTGAAAATTTTTAAGGGTTCCTATTCTATGAAAAACAAAATAGGGTTAGTCGGGGCCTAAAGTGAGATTAAAGAAATGTAACTGATGGATTTTAAGTTAATATTCTTAAACCTTATTTATTTTACTATAATTTTTATTTAAAAGTTTTATAAGTAAATTTAAAATAAATAAGCCCGTACTTAAACTGACACAAGTGACTAGGTAGCCTTTATACTAAAAGGTAAGTTATTTTTTTTTAAGGAACTAAGCAAATTTATTCTGTAACTTAGGGAGAAAGAATGTCCTACTATTAAGGATATCAGAAAGTGATTCAAACGACTGTTTATCAAAAACACAGGTTCCCGCTAAATATAATAATGATGTAAGGGAGCTGACATCTGCCCAGTGCTGTATGATAAAAAAGGTAAAATATTTACTTTTTAATCTTCAGTAAACGGCGGCTGTAACTATAACGGTCCTAAGGTAGCGAAATTCCTTGTCGGGTAAGTTCCGACCTGCACGAAAGATGTAACGATTTGAATACTGTCTTAAAAAAAAACTTGATGAAATAACAATATTCGTGAAGATGCGAATTCCCCACACTCGGACAGAAAGACCCTACGAAGCTTTACTGTAATTTTAAATTAAATTTTATAATTAATTGTATAGATATGTGGGAAATTAAATTATTAATGAAAAACCACTCTATTAATTAGAATATTTTAACAAATTTTTTAACAAAAATTTGAAAAGTTTAAAAAAGACAGTTTGACTGGGGCGGTAACCTCTTAAAAAGTAACGGAGGTGTACAAAGGTTTGGAATAAAAATAGTAAAACTTGATTGTTAGATTTAATATATCAAACAAGGATGAAAGTCGGTTTTAGTGATCTGATTTTTTATGTGATAATAAAATCACTTAACAGCTAAAAGTTACTCTAGGGATAACAGGCTTATCTTTTCCGAGAGCCCTTATCGACGAAAAGGTTTGGCACCTCGATGTCGGCTCATCACATCCTAAAGCAGTAGTGTGTTTTAAGGGTTAGTCTGTTCGCCTATTAAAGTGGTACGTGAGCTGGGTTCAGAACGTCGCAAGACAGTTCGGTCCATATCCAGTGTGGGTTTATAGAATTATGAAAAAAATTTTTTTTAGTACGAAAGGAGCGAAAAAATTAAACTTCTGGTGTATCAATTATTTAATATAATATGTGTTGAGTAGCTAAGTTTATGAAATTAATTGCTGAGGGCATATAAGTAAGAAATTTCATTTATAATACTTCTAGTCTTTTAGATTAAGAAATTAATAAGATTAATTAATTAATAAAGTTTTAATATAAGTATAGTAATATATTAAGTTAAAAATTATTAATAATTCGAATTAATTAAAATTAATAGTTAATTTAGCTCAACTGGAAGAGTTACTGATTTGTAATCAGTTGGATAAGAGTTCGAATCTCTTGATTAACTTTTATTATAATAATTATAAAAATTTATTTTAAATGAAATTTAAAAATATTTTAAATAAACCTTATAGATACGAGTATTTATCTAAATATAATAAATATTCTAATATGATGTATAATATTTTTTTTCCCAATGGGGGGGACTATTTTAAATTATTATATAGTTTTAATATAAATAAAAAACAATTACAAAAAATTTCACAAAAATTTTCTAATAGTTTATATAAAACATTTTTAATATTAAAATATTTTACATTTAAATTAGATATAAAATTAATCAAAATGGGTTTAACTAAAACATTAAAACAATCAAGATATTTAATTAAATATAATAAAATTTTAATAAATGGGGTTTTATGCAAAAACCCCAATTTTATATTAAAAATAGGAGATTGTATTCAAATAATTCCAGTATTGTATAACAAAAATTTATATACTAATTTGTATTTATTTAAAAATTATTTATTATATTTTAGTAAATTTTATATTATTACACACACTAATATTATAAATATTAACAAAAATATTTTTTATGTATTTAAATGACTGGTAATCCTAAAGGTTAGGAAATGATCTGTGGAATCATTAAGTAAGGGTTCAAGTCCCTTTACCCGTCTGGGTAGTATAGTTTAAATAGATTAAAACAAAGAATTGCAAATTCTTAAATTTCAGTTTAAATCTGAGTAATGCCTGCGGCGATAAAAGGAGATGTGGTGAAATGGTAAACACAACAGACTTATATCAATAAGAGCATATTTGTAATAGCTAATTTGTGGAACATTATATAATCCAATAAAGTGCCCAGTACTTTTAGAGATTTTTGTAGTTAAACAGAAAAATTATTTATTGTTAAGAATAAATCCTAAGACATGAAAATTTGTTAATTTATTTTACTGAGGGTTCGAATCCCTCCATCCCCATATATAATTCTTCTCGACACCTGTAACTTAATGACCAAAGTAGTGGGCTCATAATCCATAAATAAAGGTTTAATTCCTTTTAGGTGTATAATTATATATTAAGAATTGATGCTTGAGTTGGCTAAAAAGAATGCACTGTAAATGCATTAGATTATATTCTTTCATCGGTTCAAATCCGATTCAATTCATATATATATATATTGAAGAAAGATGACTGAGTGGGTTAAAGTAAAGAAATGCTAATTCTTAATTCACAAAATTAAACCGTGGATCAAGGGTTCGAATCCCTTTCTTTCTATTTTATATGTTTTATGAGTTACCTGAGAATTGAACCCAGAACCTATCGGTTAAAAGCCGAGAACTCTTCCATTGAGCTAGTAACTCTGTTTTTATTAGTAACTTTTATCGTCTAAATAGGGTAGGACATCTTCTTTTCAAGAAGATAGTGGGAATTCAATTTTCCTTAAAAGTATCTTGCATAGATATGACGGAAATTAGCGCAGGGGTAGCGCGGCTGTTTTGGGAACAGTAGGTCACATGTTCAATTCTTGTATTTCCGATATTAATTTATTTAAATTAATGAGATAATTTTAAATATGTTTTTTATACTACAATTTCCGATTCATATTTTTGATATGTATCCGTTTTTTGTATCATCATGTAATAATTATAAAATTATCCTTCATGTTCATAATCTTCCTTTAATTACAATAAAAGTTAATAATTTTTTATCTAGGATGTTGACTTACAGACTTAATTTTTATAAAATTATTAAAACTAATTCGAGTAATCAAATATGTCTATTAAATAAATCTAATAAAAAGAAAAGAGAGCAGAAGGGACTAGGAAAGGCTAGAGTCGGTTCTTTAAAATCTTCAATAACTAGGGGTGGTGGGACTATATTTGGACCTAAACCGTATTTAAGTAGTTTAAAAGTAAATACGAAAGAATGGGTTTGTGTTTATAAAAGTTTTTTAATAATTAAACGTCGTTACATTGGGTGGGTTTTTATTAATAAACCCTTGGCATATGATGATAAAAACAATTATATAAAAAATTTTATACATCATCTAGGTATAAGTATTGTTGAAAAGGTAATTTTTTTAATACTTACAAAACATATTCTATATACACAAATTTATATTAAAAAACTTTGGTTTTCTAATATAAATTTACTAAATTTTTTAAATTCTAAATATATTATTTATTTACTTTAATAATTCTATGATTAAAGAATATTTTATTACTAATTATATTTTTAATATTTTACACATAAAAGTTAATAAAAATTATTTATTAGTCAAAATTAAAAGTCCTGTTAAAATATCAAAATATTATTATATATATATATTAAAATACTTATATAATATTTACCCACATTCAATAAATATAAAAACATATACTAAATATTATAAAACTATAATATTAAAATATTTATTATGATACTTGTTAACAATTATAAATATATTCCAAAAATTTTCATAAATAAAATAAACAGTAATAGTGGAAGAAATAAAGGTAAAATCACAGTGAGACACCGAGGTGGGGGTATTAAGTATTTATATACAAATGTAAATTTTAAATATTTTGATTGTAACATGACAACTTTAGCTTTAATATTAAAATTTTATTTAGATTTTTCAAGAACAACTATAATAATGTTAGTATTAATTTTAAATGGAAATTTAAAGGGAATGAAAAAATTGCTTTTAAGTACAAATTATTTGAAAATTGGAGATTTAATATCATTTACACCACAGTTTCCAGTTAAGTTGGGGTCTTATAGGTTTTTAGGTAAATTATTTGCTGGTTTAAATATTCACAGTATAACAAACATACCTTTTGGGAAAATTTCAATATCGAGATCTTTGGGGACTAAAGCCAAAATTATTTACCACACGCCTAATTATACTTGTATAAAACTACCCTCTGGTCAGTTTAAATTATTTTCTAATAGATGCCAGGCAGTGGTTGGACAAAATTCTATTTTATATAAATACAAAAAAGTTAAAAAAGCTGGAGATAGGCAATTTAAAAATTTACGTCCCACTGTCCGTGGTGTGGCCATGAATGCATCCGATCATCCTCACGGAGGTGGGTGTGGGCGCACATCTGTTGGCTTACGTTCAAGTAAAACCCCTTGGGGCAAGTTTCATTATGGGGTAAGAACTAAATCTTCTAATTCTTTAATTAAATTTATTAATATTATTTAGATTTTTATGGGTAAAAAAGTATCATCGTTATTATTTAGAATTACTAAATTTAATATTTATAAAAATATTTGGGTATTGAATAATAATAATAAAAAAAATATAAATATGTTATTAAAATATTATAAAATAAATAAATTAATTAGTCCTATTTTATTAAACTTTAAAAATATTTATTTTAATAATATATATTATTTATATGGAAAAATTTATATTAAAAAAATTGATTATAAATGGATTAATAAATTTATGACTATATGTAATATAAATCAATTAAATTTATTTGCTATTTTATATAAATTAAATACCTCAATTTTATCTACACAATTTTTTAAATTATTTATTAAATTTCATTTATTAAAATATAATTCAATTCAAAATTTATATAATAAACTTTCTACAATTATATTAACTGAATATTTAACTAAACAGACTGCTTGTATTGGATTTAAAATAATTATTTCTGGAAGATTAAATAGTACAAGATTAGCTAATTCCGATATTTTTCAATTTGGCCCCTCTCTGCCCTTACAAAAAATTGATATTTGTGTATTTTATGAAACTTTTTATTTATTAACTAAGTATGGGTCTCTGGGAGTAAAAATTTGGATAGGGGAAAAAAAATAATGAACATAATAAATTATAATAAAAATAAAGGTAATTGTTTTATTTTGACTAAAACAGGAGGATTATTTACTTTTAATTCTTTAGTAGTCATACAATTTATTATTAAAAAAAATACTAAATTATATAAAAAAGTTTGGTTTAAAAAAATTCCAAAACCTATGTGTCCTATTGACTTAAAGTCTTTAGTTGTTATTTTAGAATTTTTAATTATATCAAATATTTTTTATATTGTACATTTAGTAAAGTGTATTACTTATAAAGTTCCATTTAAATTTAAAATTATGTATATAAAAAATTAAAATGAAAATAATAACTGGCATAAATAAAAAAAAATTTATCAAAAAAAATAAAATAATAGTCTATAAACATATATATTTGTGTAACAAATATAATATTATAAAAACCTATAAAACTAGATATTTTATATCCGACCCTAGGGAAGAAATGGTATATAATGATATTGTTTTAGTAATATTATATAGAATAAGAGATAATAAAATTTTAAAAATTATAAAATAAATATGATATTAATTAATACTTTAATTAAGGTTATAGATAACAGTGGTGTAAAACAAATATTATGTATAGGAAGTTTGAGTAAAAATATTAAAAAAATAGTTGTAGGAAATATTATAATAGGTGTAGTTAAAAAAATTAAACAAAATTCATTAATAAAACTCACATCTATAGTTAGAGCAATTATAGTTACATCTACAAATTTTATAAATTTAAAAGACGGGAGTTATATTAAATTTAAACACAATTCTGCACTTTTATTAAATAAAAAAAATACCCCCATAGGGACTAGAGTATTAGAGTCGTTTTATTATAAAAAATTATATTATAAATTAGGAAAATTTAATTCGTTTAATTTATAAAATGATATATTTACCTAATTTAAAAGTTTTTATCAATAATGCCTTATCGACTAATAAAAAATTTCTTATTATTACTTATCACAAGAATTATTATACTATTTTATTATTATTAAAAATTAAAGGATATATTAAAAACTTTATGTATGTAAATATTTATAATTTATTTAAATATTATATTATAATTGAATTTATTTATATAACAAATAGTATAAAAAAATTTAAAATGATTTTATTTAATAATAATTTAAAATTTTCAACAAAATCATTTACAGATATTTTAAAATTAAGTAAATTTTCTGGTTTATTTATCTTTAATACTTCAATAGGAATACTTACGCTAGAACAAATAAAATTTTTTAAAATAGGTGGAATTTTAATGTTTTATATATACTAAAAAATGTTTTATATAAAGGAAATAAAACAACACACTATGTTAATGCATTTTCCCTACATGTGGATATTAGATTACTCGACCCAACAAAGATATATTAAATTAAATAAGTATTATTTATTTATAAATATTTATAATATCATAATTAAAAATAATCATTATTTAATTAGTTATAATTATATACAAAAATTAATTAAATCGAAGTCATTTATTCAGTTTATTAAAAATTTTAATTATATAAAAAATTCTATAAAACTAGTTGGAGTTGGATATAAAATAAATAAAAATATAGACAATCAAACTTTATCACTTTCTATTGGATACTCACATATATTATATATACAACTTCCTGCTAGTATTTCATATAATATTAATAAAGAAAATAATTTAATAGAATTATTATCGTATAATAAAATTTTATTAACAACAATTGTATCTAAATTAAAAACATTACATAAAAATGACCCCTACAGAGGAAAGGGTCTTAAGTTATTGGGAGACAGTTTTAGCCCTAAATTATATAAAAAGTAAATTATTTATTTTTAAAATTTATATGTTTTATCTTAACACACTTTTTCTAGCTGATTTTATTAAAATATTTTTATTATTATATTATAAAAATTTTAATAATTTTTCTTTATTAATTTATTTAAATTATAAATTTATTTTATTATTTAATTATTTAATATTAACTTGTTATTATAATTATAATAGAAATTTTTTATTAAAAAATTTTATAATTACAGATAAAAATAATAAGTTTAATTTTAAAATTGAAAGTAAAATTTTAAATATTAAACTTATAGCTAAAACTACTAAAAATATAATTGTAAGAAGATTTTATATTATATCTGTAATAGGAAATAAGTCTAATTGGGTAGGCGTCGGGGTGTCTAAGCATAGAAATTTAGACAGAGCTGTTAAAAATTCATATAGAAATGCTTTTACGAATATTACATATTTTCCTGCAAAAATACTTAATTTAATATATTTAAATATTAAATTTAAAAAAACTAAATTAATTATACATAAATATAATTTTATAAACACTAACAAGATTAATTTATATAATATTTTTAATTTAATAGGATTTTTGATTAAATCTAAAATTATAGGAGTCTCTTCTAATATTTCTAATTTATTGTATATTATTAATAAATTAGGCAGTGTTAATGTTTCTTAATTAGATAAAATGAAATACAAAATTAGTCTTAAAAAACGATGTGCATGGTGTAAAATTATAAAACGAAAAAAATATTTTTATATTTATTGTAAAAAATTTAAAAAACATAAACAAAAACAAAAATGATTGGGCAATTTTTCTTATATATTACTTTTTTACGAAATAATATAATTATGACATTGGTTAAAAAAATTTTAATTAAAAAAAAATATCACGCATATACATTAAAAACTACTAGTTCTGGAGTTTGGAATTTTAAAAATAAACATAAAAATACACCATTTTCTTGTATTTTTATGTTAAAAAAAATTCTAATCAATCAACCTCTTAATATTATATTTAAGGGCGAGAGTTTTTTTAGATATTTAATTTTACATTTATTACAAAAAGAACACATAGTACTTGTTTCTATTTCTGAACAAACTATTATACCGTACAATGGATGTAAATATTCACGTAAAAAAATAAAGTTAGATGAATAAAAAACTTATTAATATACCAAATAAAAAATTAATTATATTAAACCCACAAATAAAACTTAACAGAATTCGTACTAAACTTAATTTATTATATTCTTCAAATATACGTTTATATTATTACAAAACTTTTAATATAGATTATTCACCCCAACGAGTGCAAAATAATTTTTATAAATTTACCAGTAAAAATAAAAAAAAATTATGCTATAAAAATTATAAAATATTATATTCTAATAAATATTTAAAATATAATTTAAATTATAAAAATTTTCAATTTCATATCCTTACTTTATGCCCACATATAATCAATTATTAAAACATTGTAGAAAAAATAAACAAATTAAATTAAATAATAAAGCTTTATTAAAAAATCCTCAAAAAAAAGGTATTTGTCAAAAAATCTACATAATGACTCCAAAAAAACCTAATTCTGCCTCCCGAAAAGTAGTTAAAATAAAACTATCTACAAATAAAATTATAACAGCCTATATTCCAGGAGAAAAACATTGTTTACAAGAATATAATTTTGTACTAATAAGGGGGGGGAGAACGCAAGATTTACCTGGGGTAAATTATAAAATTATTCGAGGAGCATTGGAGACTATTGGTGTAACCGACAGACAGAGTAGTAGATCAAAGTATGGAGTTAAAAAATAAACTTATTTTTGAACTACAACAAAGGCTTTGTTTAGGCAAAGATTTAAGTAGATCTGAAAAAATTATTTATATAATGTATCAAATTATAAAACAAATTAATCCCTTTATATCGCCTATTTATTTAATTGAAACAGCTATATTTAATCTATTAATTCCAGTATTTTTTCAAATGACTAATAATAAAAAAGCTATATTTACTGGAAAACTTTTACGACAAATTATGATTAAAGCTTTATTTACAATTATTAAATATGCAAAACATTTATCTAAAAATCAAACTATTTCCTATCGTTTAGCAATAATTTTTATTCAATTATATAAAAAAGATCATATTTTATATAAACAAAAAATTTTATTTATAAATAAAATTTTAAATATATAATTTTTATAATTAGTCAAAAGTAAAAAATATAATTTATATATAAAACTATTTTAAATTTTATGATTAAATTACCTTTTATGAGAACTAAGCCACATATTAATTTAGGGACAATAGGTCATGTAGATCATGGGAAAACTAGTTTAACTTCAGTTATTACTAAAGTTTTAGCTTTATTAAATAAAAAGACAAAAGCTAAATCATATAAAGAAATTGATTCTTCCAAAGAAGAACAGATTCGTGGTATAACTATTAAAACAACTCATGTTGAGTACGAAACAACTAAAAGGCATTACGCCCACATAGACTGTCCCGGACACGCTGATTATGTTAAAAATATGATAATTGGAGCTACACAAATGGATGGTGCTATTTTAGTAGTCTCTGCCTCCGAGGGTCCCATGCCCCAAACTAGGGAACATATTTTATTAGCAAAACAAATAGGTATTCAAAAGTTAATAATTTTTATTAATAAGGAAGATTTAGTGCCCGACAAGGACATTTTAGATTTAGTTGAATTAGAAATTAAAGCACTACTGGAAGAGTACGGATTTGATGACCCAGACACACCGTGTGTTTCTGGGTCTGCTTACAAAGCTTTAGAAGCATTACAAAATATGTCAGATATTTTAGATGAAAAAAATATTTGGGTTTCTAAAATTTTAACTCTAATAAATATTATAGATAGTTACATACCTGTACCTGTTCGTAGTGAAACTCTACCTTTATTAATAAGTATAGAAAGTATTTTTTCTATAATAGGACGAGGTACTGTAGTGACTGGTCGAGTAGAAAGGGGGATTATTGAAATTAATGATACAGTAGAACTTATTGGATATTATTCTAATAAATTAGTCAGTGTTATAAGTTTAGAAATGTTTCAAAAAACTTTATTTAAATGCATACCAGGAGACAATATAGGAGCTCTATTACGAGGTGTGCAAAAATCAGAGGTAAGACGGGGTATGGTATTAGCTAAACCAAATTCGATAAAAGTATATAATACTTTTGAAGCTGAGGTATATATTTTAAAAGCCGAGGAGGGGGGTAGAAAAAAACCATTCTCTATTGGGTATAAACCCCAATTTTTTATAAGAACTGTTGATATTACTGGAACAGTTATTAAAATAGTTTCAAGCACAGCACAAAATAATTCTACTATAATTTTACCTGGAGATAAACTTTGTCTTGAAATTAAATTATTATATAATATAGCTTTAGAAAAAGGAATGAGATTTGCAATACGAGAGGGAGGTAAGACTATAGGAGCTGGAATTATTTTAATAGTTAAAAGTTAATAAAATATGTTAAGTAAAAAGTTTATAAAAAAATATTTTAATAAAAAATTTAAATATTCAAAATATCTTAGACATTTTAATTTATGGCTTCAAATATATATAGTATTAATCGCTAATTATGTATTACCATATAAAATGTTGAGTAAAAACAAAATATTATTTAATAAAACAAAAGAATTTGTTAAGAACCAGAATTGAACTGGCGACACAAGGATTTTCAGTCCTATGCTCTGCCTACTGAGCTATCCTAACTATAAAATATTTGGAAAATAGCCAAGAGGGTAAGGCTGTGGATTTTGATTCCACGAACAGAGGTTCGATTCCTTTTTTTCCAAACAAGGTGCAGGACGTTTTTAATTTAAGGGTAAAATAGAGATTTCCAAAATCTTAATTAAAAGTTCAATTCTTTTAAAACGTGATTTTAATTTATATAATTGAAATATAAAATATGTGAATGAATTATTTAAATTTTAGTAAAGAAATTTATAAAATTTTGCATAAAGCTAATAAATTGTCGGAGGGGGGTGTTGTAGAACTTAGACATATTTTATTAGGATTATTTATGACCAAAAATTTAATATCAAATATATTTGATATTAATAATTTATTATTAGATTATAAAAAAAATAATAAAGTAAATTCTAGAAATTATTTAATTAAATTTTCAAAAGAAAGTTTAATTTTAATTTCAAATTTATTATATAGGAATAATATTTTAAATACAGTTGATCTTTTTTCAGAATTAGTTGCTAGTAATAATATTTATATAAAATATTTTTTTAAATATACAAGTATTAAAAATTTAAATTGGTATCAAAAATTTATAATACAATCTGATTTATATTATATACAAAATTTATTTTACTCTATTAAATTTAAAAAACGAATAATTATTAATAGATTTAATGAAATTACAAATGTATCAGATATTTTATTACGTAGGGTAAAAAATAATGTTATTTTAGTTGGTGATACAGGAATTGGACGTTTTTCAATAGTAAAAGAGGTATTTAATACTTTTAATGTAACTCAAAATACTACACAACAAAATTTTAAAGATTTTTATATCTTTGATATTATTAAATTTTATTCGAGTACGTCCTACGATACATTAAATATTCATAAACAAAAATTACATAACTGGATTTTAATAAATTTTGATATAATATTAGTTTTAAATCATTTAGAAAATATAAATGATTTAGATTTAATTATACCAATTTTTAATATTATTTTTATATTAGTTAAACAAAAAAAATTACAGATTATCATAACAACAAATACAACTAAATTTTATGAATATTTAAAATCTAATGTTATTTTAAATAATTTATATGAAATAGTCATTATTAAAGAATTATCTATATCTAATATTCTAATAATTTTACAAAATATTAGAATACAATTAGAAAATTTTTATAATATTAAACTAACATCTGATATTCTCAATTTAGTAATCAAAACTAGTAACATAGTATATCCAAATAAAGTTTTTCCATTAAAAGCTATTGAATTATTAGAAATAATTTGTTCCAAATTTATTACTAAATATCCAAAATCTATTTATTTAACAAAAACATATTTTGAACAGATTGTGTCAACATTACCTAATTTAATGATTAAATCTATAAATATACAAAATATAACTAAAAAAAATTTTAAATTTTTATTACAAAAACGTATATTTGGCCAAAAACTTGTTATTAATAAAATAAATAATGTTTTAGTTAAAACACTAGCAGGATTTAAAGTTGGCAATAAACCTATCGGCAGCTGGTTATTGTGTGGGCCAAGTGGTACTGGAAAAACGGAATTAGCTAAAAGTATTGCAGAAGTATTATTTGGAGATGAACAAAAAATGATTCGTTTTGATATGAGTGAATTTATGGAAAAACACGCTGTTTCGAAACTAATAGGCTCTCCCCCTGGGTATGTTGGTTACGAAAATAGAGGATTACTCACAGATTCAGTAGACAGACACCCCCATTGTATTCTGTTATTTGATGAGATAGAAAAAGCACATCCAGATATCCTTAATATAATGTTACAGATATTAGATGATGGTAGATTAACAGATTCTACAGGAAAAATTGTTAATTTTACTAATACATTAATTATTTTTACCAGTAATCTTGGATGTCCAAGACATATATCTGAATTTAAGAAAGAATTTAGTTCAAATTCAATTAATTATAAAATAAACGATCAAATTATTATGAAACATATTAATCAATATTTTAGACCTGAATTAATAAATAGATTACATGATATTTTAATATTTCAACCATTAGAATTTAAAGTATTATTATTAATTCTAAATAAATTTGTTAATCAATTTTATGAACAATTAAAAAATCAAAAATTGCCAATAAAATTATTAATTCATGAAAATTTAAAAAAATATTTAGTTAAATTAAGTATCTCCCCACTTTACGGGGCAAGACCATTAAAACGTATATTTGATGAATTAATTATAGAACCTACTATAAATATTTTACTTAAAACAAATTTCATGCAACCACATTTATTATTTTATACTTTAACTAATAATAATAATATTTCTTATAACATAATATCTAATTTATAAAATTTTAAGTAAGTATAATTTAATGGTAAAATATCAATCTTCCAAATTGAATTTAAGAGTTCGAGGCTCTTTATTTACAAATTTATTAAAATTTATTAATACTTTTATATGCTAAAATTAAAAATACAAAATACTAAACAATCCAACCAACACTTTATATGTTCTAAAATAAAAAAAAAATCTAATATTCCGGATAAAATAGGGGTTATTAAATTATATAAGTATGTAGTAATAAATTATAATCTTATTTTACTTTTACAAAAATATGGGTTCAGTATATCTAAAGGTATGCGAAAATTTTGTTTAATACATTTATACAAATAAAATGCTGTTCGGAGAGATGGTAGAGTAGGTTTATTACATCTAACTTGAAATTAGAAAGATTTTTAAAAATCTCGTGGGTTCGAGTCCCTCTCTCTCCTAGTTATTTTAAAAAGTAATATTTTATTTAATGATTTATAAAACTAAAAAAAAAAATTTTCAAATTTTAAAAGCTATAACTTATAGTACTTTAATTAGAAAAAAAAATCAAATAGAAAATAATAAAAAAACTATAAAATATCTTAATTTAATATTAAAATTAAAATTTACTACTTATAAAATATATACTTATGTATATAAATCTATATCTATGTATAATATCAAAAAAAAATATAATTTAAATTATATTTTTTTTTGATATTATACAGTATTTTCCTTGTAAATAAGCTGTACTAAATAATTCTAAAATTAATTTAAAACATATAAAATTAGGAGATATAATGGTAGAATGTTTAAATTTATCTAATAGTTGACACTGTAATAATGTTATAAAAAAAATTTGTTTATTAAATTTTAAATAATTATTTAATAATTTATTATTTAAAGATGGTAGTAGAATAAAAATATAATTTGGATATTTTAAATTAATAATAGTCCAATAATTATTTTTTAGGATTATAAATTTTTTAAATAATTTTATAATATTATTAAAAGGTAATTTAATTTTATTTTTATTTATTAATTGAATTAAATATATAATCCATTTTAATAATAAAAGTTGATTTTTTAATACTCCCCAATTATTGATAAAATTATTTAGTTTTTTATTATTTACGTACGGACTATTAGTAAAAAGTTTAAGTAATTTTAAATCACTATTTAATATAGAAAAATGATTAATAAATAATATTTGATTATTAAACACAGACTGTGTGTGTGTTATTATATATAAAAGTGTTAATTGTTTAATTAATAGTAATATATTTAGAGTAGTATAGTTATATTTTATTGTTTTTAAAATAAAATTTTTAAAAAATACATATTTTAAAAGCATCAGTTAATTTAAAAATTTTTAAGTTATTATATTATAATGTTTATACCACCCAGTACCAGTATCTGTTAAATCAGACATTATTATTTTTGCCTTTAAATCAAGTACCCAATCTATTTGATTAGTTAATACTAATGTTGATAATAATTTTACAGTTTCTTGAAAACTAATAGATGATAATAATCCACTATGACTTAATGAAATCTTACTAATACCTATAACTGTAGGAGTGTATAAAGCTCCTACCAGCCCATTTAAACTAAAACTGTTATTTATTAAATTAATCACAGTTCCAGGCACTGTATCTTGAGAAAGTAATGATGTGTCCCCACTATTTAATATTTTAACGTAACACACCATTCGTCTAACTATTATTTCAAATAAAAATGAGGGTAAAACAATACCCTGATATTGATATTGTTTTATTAAAGATTCCAATATTATATTATATATATAAATTGAGGTGTATTTAAAAGCTGTGTATAGATTTGTGGTAGAGATTAAAGTATTATAATAATAAATGGTTATTAAATTTGGGGAAAAAATATCATTCATCAGCATATCGCCACCTATTACTAATGTATTTAAAGTTTTTAAAGAAAAGGTTGGGCGTGTGTAGGTACAAGATAGTATTGTAATAGTTAAATTTTGAGTTAAATTCTGTAGGGGTATTTCAATATAATACAAATATTGAGTATAAATATTAAAATCTAAAATAAAACCATGTGTTGGGCTAATTAAGTTTAAAATAAACTTAGAGGAATAAAGTTCAAAGATATATTCTATAGATTTTAAATTATTAGTTATAAAATTTTTTGATTTTTCTATAATAGATTGGTGTTTTACACTATTTTTAGTGTAATTTATTTGAGTAACCAATTCTTGTAAAAATATTTTATTTGAAAAATTTATATTATATTTAAACTGAGGGAATTGGGTGAATAAATATTTATGTAAATTATTTAGTGTATTATATTTATATATATGTGTATTGTAGCTACATTGTTTATTTAAAAAAATAATATATTTATAAAATATATTTTCTTGAATTTTAATAGAGTAAGTATTTTTTAATGTTAACTTAGTCGTTTTGTGTATATATAATTTTTCTAATAAATAGGTACAATCTATTCTGAAATTATAATTTAAATTTATGATATTAATTTTATGTTTTAGTTGATATAAAATTTTTTGTAGAAAATAATTTGTAATAAACTTTATATTATATATCATTTATATTGTTGCTTAGCTTAAATATTAAAATCTAATAAATAATATCTGTATTAAACAAACTACTTGATTTGTATATATTATGTAAATAAAGCCCCCCACTAGTAAGTGTAAAATAATCAA